GGACTCCTGCCCGCTGGCCAGAGTGACGGGGAAGCTGGAGTTCACGAAATAGGAACTCATTGGGAGGGGAGGCGCGCGGCCGCTGCTGCTCCGCCGGGGTTATGATTTGTTGTGTTTTATAGTCCGAGCGCCGCGCCTATATGATTTGTTGTGTTTTATAGTCCGAGCGCCGCGCCTATTAGTAGTATATCCGAGATTGGGTTTTAGCTGAGGGGGGATGGCGAGGTGCCAGTGCGGGCCAGAAGGAAATACAACCATCTGATCCAACACTGACCAATGGCAGAGGCAGGAATTGTCAAATAGCACCCAGGAGGAGAGCAGCCCGCGCGAGGGACCGCGCACAAACCTATCAACCTTTTTTTTTCTCCCCTCCTTCTCTTTTCTCTCTCTCCCCCCAACAACACGACGCGTCCTGTTCCACCTACGTAGGATCTGCGAAAGAGGCGTCTTTGCCTTCACGGAGGGAGGAGGGAGCACTTGGGCTGAGACCACCTCACTCCCCGGCGATTAAGTAAATATATCCTTCTCCGCGCACACACTCCACGCAGAAAAGGAAAAAGTTAATTGTGCTTTGAGAAAAGTTAACCCCTGCTTGCTTGCAGCCAGTCCCTCAAGGGAAGGCTGGTAACCATCCTGCCAGCTCAAATCTGGAAGCCCAAATCGTTTGAGAGAGAACTGCAGGAGGCTTGTGTCTGGGGGGTTTCTGTTGGGAGAAGGGAATCAGAGTTCTTTGTTAATTTGCATCATTTCAGGACGGAGGTGAAGAAGAAACACTCTACCTCCCAGCTTTTGAAAATCATCATCATTTTTTTTTCCTGTTTGTCAGATCTGCTCTCTCTCCCCCCCAAGTCTGGGTCTATTATTCCTGCTTCTCCACAACTCCTAGATCAGAGCCGGTTGGGGTTGCTCTTCCTCTGGCCTAGAAGAGCTGGAGGAGGAGGGAACGGCCAGTGGGTCTGAGGGCCAGCTTCCCGGGCTGGGCTGCTGGTAGGTTCTCCAAGCCTTCTGCCGCTGCTGCCAAAGTTACCTTGCCTGGTTGCAGCACAGTGCTCACTCCTGGCAGAGGATGCACCCTGGGGAAGCAACCAGCCCTCTCCTCACCGGGGCAAGGGTGTGGAGAGGAGTCAGGAGGAAGCCTCAGGCCCGGGTGGCTTTATTTGTCCAATCCTCATCCTGTGTGCAACTTCGCACCCCCACCTGTCACCCCGCATGTCAGAAGAATATTCTGGGTTGTCCGTGATTTCTTTTTCAATTTTTCAAATTCTCTCCCCAGGCTTGGTTTTGGTAGTTTTCTAAGGCGGGAGGGTGTCTGGGTCCTCCTGGGGACCCAGCGGCGGTCTTCCAATACCCCCTCTCCAGACACTACGCTTCCAGCTGCCCCTCAACACCCCCCCCCATGCCTCAGGTTTGCATCATCAGCTCTGGATTTGTTGCTGAGCAAGCTGGGGCCTGAGCATGTGCGTCCCTGCTCTCTCTCAGCCAAAGGAAATGAGGGAGCGTGAGCCAGGGCCACAGTGCAAATCCAGTATTCCAGGAGGTGCACCCAGGCTGGGCAGCGAAGGGTGACACTTCTCCATCCGGGGACAGGAAGGGGCCAAGGTGGGAAATAAAGTTTGGTAGCAGGCCAGGCCCATCTACCCTGCCTTGTCCTCCTTTTTATGAGCCAGCTCTGCCCACTGAAGGTGGCACAAGACACTGGGGAAGGGGGCAGAGGGCTAAGGGTGGGGACAGAGTTGTTGGCAAAGGGGCCTCCGGAGGCTCTCTGACTTGGACTTCGGGGCAACTCTCAGGTTCCACTTCATGCAAAGTGGTCATCCAGAGAGTCCCTCCAGTCACTTCCTACCCTGGTCCTGTGGGGGTTTTAAAGGATTTAAGAAAAGAAGCTCAAAGCACCACATACGCTGCAACCCTGCTGTGGTTGGGACCCACCCCGAGAGAGGAACAGGAGCTGTCTAAGAAGGGAAGGGAAGAGCCCTTGCCTGAGCCTCTCTGCCCTGCAGCTTGAAGCCGGGCCCTGGGCCTCAGTCCTCCTCCCTGGTCACAGCATCCTATCCCTGGTCCCTGGCCTAGCTGGCTTGGCCTTCCCCTTACAGCGTGGGCTCAGGAAGAGCCAGGGGAGGGAGGGGCTCACCTCTGGCCTGTGACAGAAGCAGGAAATAATCCCCTTATCCTTGGAGTCACAGCCCCTAAATTAACCTCACCTCTGCAGGTTGCCTGTTGGGAGATGGAGCCGCTGCAGGCAGGGCACAGGCGCCTGGAGTCCGGCATGAAAGGAACTAGCGCCCCATCCCTCTTATCTAACCCCAGAGGTATTTATGAGCGTTTATTCCTCTGATCCGTTTGTTTGGGAAAAAGAGCAGGCAGGCCCCGCCCGAGACAGCCTGGTTTGTGGAGCCAGATCTCCAGGAGAATCTGTCTGTGGTTCCATGCGGCATGGCAGTCTGTCTGTCGGTCACCACAGGGGAATATGTAGATACACAGCAGGCCCCGGCAGCCCGCTGGGCTGGGTGTCTCTCCCTGCCTCGGTGAGAAAGAAGTGTGTGCGTGCATGCGGAGGGAGAGGTGGGAAAAATGAGCAGCCAGTCTGGAGTACAGACACGAGCCGGGGGACTGAGGGGACTCCCCACAGGCCGGGCTCATCCCGGTGATTTTCTGTGCCGAGCACTGTGACTAAGCAGCGTTTCCTCAGCTGTGTTCAGCTCCCCACCGGCATTTGTTTGCATGGAGTGGGGCTGAGAGATTAGCCAGGCTGCCCGCTTCCTCTAAGGTACAGTGCCAAAGGAGCAGCCCTTCCTCGGCTCTTGGGGTGCAGGGGCACCTTTCCCCACCTCACCCCCAGCTTGGCCTGGGGTGGGCCAGGGGAAAGCACCTCAGTGCATCTCTCCCCCGGGACTCTGACTGGGTTTGGGGACACACATGTTCCCAGAGGTGCAGGGTGGTGGCTCTCCTAGACTGAGAGCTACTCTTTACCTTGGCCACTGTGCCCTAAAGTAGGGCGGTCCAAATCGAGGTACAAAAACCTCATCTCCATTATGCAAATGAGAGACACCCCTGTGACCTGGAGGGACAGTAGGCCGGGCTTTAGCAGCTCTCCTCCTCTCCCCCAGGTCCAAGGACACCCCAAGCCCCCTGAAGTGCTTCAACCTCTCTAGCAGTCCCACTTCCTCTCCCCACCTGTCCTTCCATTGCCCACAAGAAAAAAAGACCTCGGAGGGGACCCCTAGCCTCCTCAGGCGGCTCCCTAGGGACCTCCCGCAGAGCTGGCCAGGCCGTCCAGCTGCCAGAAAGTCACTCAGACTTCGGAAAAGCTCAAAGAGCCGCTCAAAGGCCCAGACCCCAGAGGCACCAGGGCTGGGCGGTGGGGGGAAGCAAGCGGGGTCTCCCCCAGCACGGCGGCCTGCCCCTGGACCAGCTCCAGCCAGACCCCAGTAACACCTCGGCCGGCCTGGCACCACAGGCAATTTCCTGCAGCCCCCGCCCAGGAGCCCGGGCCGCCGCACCTTGAAAGGCTCAGCCAGAGAGCGCTTCCTCCTGCGGTTTGAAAGCCCGAGCTAATCAGTAACCCTAGAGACAGGGGCCAATGCGCCAAAGCGGCGCAGGGGCGCGCACGCCGCCTCGCCACCCCCTCTGGGGGCGATGTCGCGCGAAGCGGGTGTGCGGGGTCCGGCGGGAACGGAAGTCACCGTGGTTGGCTTCCTTCGTGATGTATCGCCAAGGCCCACTCCGGGGTTTTCCCCAATGCAAATTCGCGTCGATTTCGCTCCAAAGGATCCGGGGTGGGGGAGGGGATCGGAGCTCACATTGCAAACACCGACGGTTTCCAGAAAAACTCCGTACCCCCCCGCTGGGGAACCGGCGAGACCCGCCACCGGCCAACTGCAAGAACAGACTCGGTTTGTCTTTTGACAACCGAGTGGAACCGCGCGGCCCCTCCCTTGGCTACGAAGAAACCAAATAAACCTTAAGCAGCCAAGGCTCCAGCGGCCCCATCCTTGCCCGAGCCTTGGGTGTGCTTCGGGGGTGGGGCCGTGGCTCTGACCCCGCAAGTCTGTGGCTCCAGAACCCCAGTCCTCGGGTTGCGGTATCAGTCCTAAGGGAGATCGCTTCCTCTGCCAGCCACCAGGTTTGGGGCCGGATGGGTTTGGAGGGGCGTGGGGATCCTGAGGCGAGAGAGACTTGTTTCGTTCCCTAATCCGCCCCCTCAGAATCGGCATGGACTGGAGGCATTGGAGTGGCCCCGAGATCCCCCCAACACCTTCTGCCCGCGAGGCCGGCGAGGGGTGCAGGCGTCGGGCACGGGTGGGCAGTGTCGCCGGGCTTGCGGCGCCCAAGTCGCGCGTTTGTCTCGGAACGGTCGGTAGATGGCAGCAAACCGCATAATTTGGGTCAGAGCAAACTGTCTCGGACGATTTATAAACCTCCAAGACTCCAGGAGAAAAAGACCTTTAGTCTGAGTGGGGTTGGGGAATTTCCCTTAGAGAATAGGGCCCCAGTGTCACGGGTGCCTCCGAATGACTCCACTTGCTACGGAACCGAGGGGTGTTTGCGGGAGTCCAGGCCAGGCCTCTAACTGGGGCACCCACCTGGGCCCCCAGGGACTCCCCTCGTGCCACAAGTGGCTGCCATCTCCCTCTCTTCCCATCTCAGGACTGAGATGGCCAACACGGGTGCGTGTGCGCGTGCACACACACACACACACACACACACACACACACACCCCAGGCCTGGCAATCCCAGGGTAACCAGAGGCCTGAGGTGAACACCCTGTGTCTGGTCTTAAGACAGAAAAATCAACAACCTATTCTTGCAAACCAAAAGAAGTCTAAATCAAAACATCTCGGTTCTCCATACCCTACATCATCTCCCCAGAAGCCCCCTCGACCCCTGAATTAGTCTTCTCCTCCATCAGCTCCTTTTTCTGCCCCAGCAGGTTCTCCTCCCACCCCAGGGCCCGGCTGGCGGTGAAATCGGGCACCTGGGGGTCCAAGACCAAGCCGTCTGGGCTCAGCACTGGGCTTTGCATGGAGACACCGTCAGATTTCCACATTGTGCTCCCTTTGGATTTTCTTATCTTCTCTCCTATTTTTGTGTACAAGCCCCAAACATGGATACCCGAAACAGCACTTCACAAATACCCCCATTCAGATGCAGGGAAGTTTGCATTTTCCATATCAAACACACATGGCCATTTTCTCTTCCGTGGAAATCCACACTGCCCATACCAATAAAACACAAGTCAAAGGATCAGCATTGTACCACCGAAACCAACACGCTGGAACCTACCGCGTCAAAACCACACAGCTCCCCGCAGCTCCCGCAGCTCGGGGCTCCCTCCTGCCGGGGTGACCCGAGACCTGGGCACCCGTTCCCCTCGCCTGGGCTTCCCCGGGAGCCTCTGGCCCTGGGCACCGCCACCCACAGCCCTCTCCTTTCCGAAATGTCTCCGAAGGGAGAGCGTAAATATTTCTCTGTGAACTGTTCTTTCTGTGTCTCTCTAGCTGCCTCCTCGGCCTCGCCAGCCTCTTCGAAGATTCCAGGCCCTGCAGAGACCAGAACGACCCTGAGCGCCGCCACCCCGAGTGCCAATGCTGCCGGAAAACCGCCGATACCCACCCCAGGCTGGGCAAGAGAACTGCGCGGGGGACAATCGGAGGAGGCCGGGAGGGGCGTGGGGGGGCGTGAGCCCACCGAGGCCGGTGGCTTCCTCCCCTTCCTCCCCATCCCCTCCGTGGCAGCCCCCACTCCGCTTTCCTCCCCGCGCCTTTTTAAAGGCTCCCAGCGATGGCCTCCGCGGCCCCTTTTGGTTCCTCGTCCCCTCTCCCTCGCCTTGCCTCCCCCTCCGGAAAGCAGGCACCCCTCTCTCCAGTACCAAATTTCTTGGGAAGCCTCTTCCTGCAGCGCCCAAAACTGGGGTTCAACCCCGGTCTGGGAGTCAAGGGAGGAGGGAGAAAAGCCCAAGCCCCACCCTACTACAAAAGCAGTGCGAGAGAATAAGAGAATTGTAGAATCTCCCTTACCTTTGTAGACCTTGGGGGTTTTCTTCCTCCGGATCGAAAAGGGTGGGGAGGGCGGGTGGGGGAAGAGCGTTTGGTTTCTTCTTTCGGCTTCCAGATAATATTGTCCCAACCTGAGAGCCGTCACTTCCCTTCTCTGACTTGGGAGAGAGGGTGTTTCTCTTTGCTGACATTAGCATAGAAAATAGACTAAATTCTGGTTTTTGAAAAATGGTATCAGGCTGCAGTCCTGGGCAGATTGTCCATTTACCCGTCATGATGACTAAAATCCCAGATCAGCAGGCAAATTAACTTAGGAATCAAAATTATTTTTAGTTCTCTCTTTTGTATAATTCTCACCCCTCCTTCTCTCTCTCTCTCTCTCTCTCTCTCTCTCTCTCTCTCTCTCCTCTCTCTCTCTTTTGGTCTACGGAGCTGATATTGAAGTATAAAAATATCAAGAGGCTGGAGCCCTGAAGGACGACAGGGCTCCGACCTAGGTGTGGTGTCCAAAAGAATGCTGCATTATAACCACCAGGGAAATGATAAAAAGTTCATGTTCACGATCGCCCGGCCACATGACCGGCGCCGGCCAATCGCTGGATTCAACCACTCATAAACTTCTATCACAAAGTTGTAAATTTTCATAAAACAACAAGGAATTTATTGCATTTCTTCCTGGCTGCTCCACCAGCAACGCTTTTCTCAGTCGCCATCTTCTTTTCTTCTCCTTCTGCCTTTTTTGGGGGAAACCCCAATCTGAGGAGGGGTGAGATTTGGGGTGCAGAGTTTCAGGGTAGAGAAGCCACAGGGGCCCGGGGAGGAAGGGGGTTCTCTTAGAAATATCCCTGCTCCCTCGGGAGCTCCGCGCCTCTTTTCTAGTAAAAATTCACCCCAAGTCTTCTGCAGTGGACAGATTTGAAGGTGAGGCAGGAGCTGCAGTCGGTTTCTGGCGTCCTCTGCACAAAGCAAAAGCTACTCTGTCCCCCCTAACCTCGGATTGGGTGCCCTCATTCTCAGCCCTAAAAATATGGGGCCCCCACCTGTGAGGCTTGCAGCACTGCGGGTGTGGGGGCCTAGATTCCCCGGGGCCTAGTTTCTTTTTCCCCCTAGGAGGGGAGGTGGCCTGGAGGGGGCCAAAGCAGACGGCCTAACAGCTGGATTCTCCACCTCCGCACCCCAGAAACCGGGGGAGGGTAGAGCCGCGTAGAGTGCTCCTGCCCAAATGCTGGCTGGCCCAAGTTCCTGATGACAGCTCCGCACACTGGCCAAGGGGGTTCCGCCATCATCAGTGGGGAAACTGCGAGGTTAGGGGCCTTTCACTGACACATTCAAATGAGACAGATTTTCCTAAAACCAGCCCTCCTCCAGCTTTCTGTTCGAGGAACCTGTTCTTTAAATTTAAAGGAGCCAGGGTAATTCGATAAATGCAAAAATCAGCGATGCAGGTCTAGGTGTATAGTTGCCCATCATTCAGGGTTTTGTGCTGCAGTCGAAGGTTTTGGGGTCCAAAACATCAATTCACTCCATTTTCCCCAGGTCCTCTAAAACTTCCCCATATTTTGGGTTGAGTCACCCGCACCCGAATTCAAAGAAAACGAAATAACCCCCACCCCGAAATGTTTTTCTTTTTTTCTCTCTCTCTCTGTCTCGGGGCTCCTGATAAGGTTCCAGGTCACCGGCTGCCCCGAGAGCAGGCAGAAAGGCTCCCCGGAAGTCCCCGGCATCATCGGGCGGCTCGGCCAGGCTCACAGCAAAAGGGAACAGGGCGCGACCATGCCAGCCGGGTAAACTCGCACCTCTCTCGCTCCTCAGACCCATCTTATTCCCTATTTTTAAGTTTAAAGTGTATCACCTGGGTCAATTTAGCATGAGAAATTCAAACACATGAAAGCAACATCAGTGGAGATAAAACAAAGGAATAGGTTTGGCCAAAAATGTTTTCCGAATGAGCGCAGACTGCTCCTCGGTCCGGGCTTGGGAGGCCGCTTTAGGCCGGCTAGGAGGCCTCTCCTTGCCAACCCGTCTCTGCCAAAGGCAGCCAAGAGGCAGGGATTGATTTGGGGTTCACGCTCTCTTCGCATCCGCTCTTCCTTCTTTTGGGGCCTAGCCTTGAGGATTTCACCTCTGTCTTGGCAGCCAAGGCCCACAACAGCCTAAGGCCGCCTCCGAATGGGAAGTTTCTGGATCTGTGAGCTTTTTTATTTTGTTGTTTTGTGGGTGTGTGGCTGAGCACATGGGCTCAAGGGTGTATTTATTCCGGAGCAAATGTGAACCTCTGTTTATAAACCTACGTGTGGATGAGCACTTGGGTCTGATGGGTCTGAGTGACCGTACAGGCTGTTGCTGTGAATACATGAATGTGTGTTTATTGGTGACTGTCGCAGCGTGTTTATCTGTGTGAGATGTCTGCCTGGAAATGTGTGATTGTGTGCACTGGGTTATGGCCTTGTGTGAAAAGCGTAAAGGAGATACGATATGCATGATCCTGTGTCTGTGTGTCTGTGTGTCACATCAGAGGTCACTACTTGGCAGTCCCCAGAGCTGGGGGCAGTGGTGAACAGAGGAGACCTGAGACCCAGCGCAGAGTAAAAGAATGGTAGCCATGGAGGGGCTCTGGGAAACCCACCTCTCACTAACCCCGACCCCCCCCAGGCTTCCGGAGACGCAGAAAATAGGGCATCCAACTCTTTTTAATCAGGTTTTATTTCTTCATCATTCGGCTACACACAGAACGTATAAAGGAAGGGTGGTCAGCGCTAGGCACACGGGGCACAGGAACTAGTGGGGTCAGTGGACCTGTGGGGCTCCGCAGACCCTCTGGGTGCCGCTCCAGGGAAAGCGGAAGTTCAGGAGGGTGGGGGGAACCTCAGGGGGGTCAATTCAGACCCAAGTCCGCGGAGAAAGGATCCAAGGAGGCTCACAAAGCGGGGAGCGTTTACAAAGACCTTACAATAGCGAATAGAAAAGGGGAGGTGGATTAGAAGCTACAGGCCCGCAGCAGACGATGCTCTTCCCTTATTGTACAAAACCAAACCAGACAGACTTTCCTATAGGTAGTATTTTTTTTTACAGTGTTGAGAAACCAAAATTTCACCTTTCTCTCTCCTTGATTATTTTTTAAAAACTACTTTTACTTAAATAGTTGTGTTTTTCCCCCTACTTGACAGAGTTTCCGGGCTCAGTTCCCAGAACTGGGCGGCTCCCTCTCTCCCTCTCTCTTCTCTCTTCCTTTTCTCTGCCCCTTACTCTTCCTCTTCCTCTTCCGCTTCCGCCTTGTCCTGGCCAGGGACCCCTGGGCCTGAGGTCTTGTTTTCCTTTTTCCACTTCATGCGCCGGTTCTGGAACCAGATCTTGATCTGGCGCTCGGTGAGGCAGAGCGCGTGCGCGATCTCGATGCGCCTCCGCCGGGTCAGGTAGCGGTTGTAGTGAAACTCCTTCTCCAGCTCCAGCGTCTGGTAGCGCGTGTAGGTCTGGCGGCCTCGCTTGCGGTCGGTCCCTGCGCACAAAATACAGAAGGGGGCAAATCAATCCATCTTTTCAAATAAAAATGTTGAGAACCAACCCTAAGGCAGCATCTACTCCCTCTTAACACCTCCAGGTAAGATCCATAGGAGGGGGAGAAAAAAAAGTCCATTTGCAACTCAATCAAATCCTTACTTTCTACCCCTGTCCCATACAGCTATGCTGCCCTTCGCTCTCAATGTGTAGAATTTTCTGCAAGTCATTTGAGGTAAATATTCCCATTGTCCCTTCCAGAAACCTCATCTTGCCTGGACTCCTGAAGCTGGAAAGCTCTAACCTGCTGGTTCCTGAAGGCTCTGCTCCTAAGGCACGTATGTGGGGTGAGGGGAGGTGGATCCTCAGTTCCTCCTTGGGTCCAGGGACTCCAGGCCTCCCCTGTTGGCCGCTGACTGTGGTGGTCCTTGGGACTGGGTGCCAGAGGGAACCCTGCAAGGCCCTGTGGTGTGGAGCTCAGGACTGGTTCCAGTGTTTCCCAAGAAAAGGAGACAAAGGGGCCCCCCTGCACAGCTCCAGCACTCCCCACCCTGTCATGGAGCCAGGAGGGGAAAATCTGCAGGTGCCTTGGAGAATGGAGCTGGGCAGAGAGCAGCTGGCCTCTGGTGATTCTTCCCCAGTGCAGGACCCAGGCCCAGCCAGGGCCAGGCTGGCCTCCTTGCCCACCTGGCTGCCAGGGCAACTGGTTCTGCGAAGCCATCTCTGGGCCTCCAGGGAAGCACAAAGGCAGAGGAGAGACAGCAGCCCGGTTAGAGCAGAACACAAGGCTGTGTGGGGGGCCGAGGAGATGGGACCTTCCAAGCTCAGGCTCAGAACCCTAAGGAGGAGACCTGGAGGCCCTGAGGTGCTGGTGCCAGCCCTCCTGGGAAAGCGACACTAGAGGAGGGCTGGAGGCCCTAATTCCAAGTCAGATAAAAGCCAAGCTGAAATGTTTACGAGCAGAAAAATTTGGGCTTTGATAAATCAACCGGAAAGGCAGTTGAATTATGAGGCAGGTAATGGGGACCGTGACCACCAGTACTGATGCTGGGAGAACAGGGCTCCTCCCGACCCCCAACCCTGGTGAGGCCGGGAGCCTCTGGCCACAAATCTTGAGCCTTCTGGATGGTGGGGTGGCTCCCGAGCCCATCTGCCAGGGTAGTGTGAGCCTGGGTGCATAGCCTGGAAGGGAGACCTGGCAGGAGTCCTGGCCTCTTGGGGCTCCTGCAGTAGCTGCTGGGTGGTCCGCACTCTCTTTGCCTGATTTGGCTCCTTGGGCTCCCGCTGTTTCCTCCCCAAGAGGAGATGCACCCTGAAGGAGGGACACCCCAACTTGTCGGCCAGTTCTCCGGGGCCACCTAGGGTTCCTAGGAAGAGTTCGGAGGAAGCCAGTGTGCTCCTGAGCGGCCCCGCCCCCTCCTAGTTCTACTCCCCAAGTTCACAGGGGGGTCAGGAGCCACATCTCTCTAGGCCTGGCCCACCCCCCACCTGCCACTCCGGCTCTGGGTCCCCGCTAGGGTCCTCTTGTCCTCTCCCCCCTCCTCCCGCCAGGCCTCTGGAGCCCACCTCTAATTGTCCTGTTGGGGATAACGGGGGATCGGGGTTGGCTGGGAGGGGGAGGGGAGGACTGCTTCGCTTCGCGCCGGGCCCCTCCCCCATACCGTTCGTGTCTGAGCCGGGGCTGGGGGACACACCCCAGGGCTGAGATCCCAGGCGAGGAAAGGGGGGAGCGAGGGGGGAGACCCTAATGGCTATTCTCTGCAAACCCCAGCCTTCCTCTGCAAGACAAACGGCCTCGTCTCCAGCCCGTGCCGGCGCTGCTGATAAATATTTAAAGCTAAAAGACCGGGAGGAAGGCTGGGGGGCGGGCCGGGGCCTCTGAGCGCCGCGGCGGCGTCGGCGGAGAGAGATCCGCCGGGGAGGCTGAGCCAGCCAGAGAGCACCGAGCAAAAATGCCGCCTACAAGTTCTGAGCTGTAGGCAATCTTCTCCATTGAAAGTATAAGACAGAAAGGGAGCCAAAAGAGCATGCACCAATCACGGCCACTTGTCAATTAAGTGTCTTGCTTTACTTTTGCCATTTAAGAAAACTTATCTGCAGACTCAGTCATAAAAACAGTTCATCTAAAGGCTCTTTTGCTGTAAAATTATCATGGATCCAACATGCCAAAGATATGTAAAACTGAAAGCATAATGAAAAAGTATTTAAATTCTAAGCACATAAATTGTTCTTTGTTTAGTTTCGAGGCAAACACATTGCATCTCATAT